GAGCAGTCTCGACTAATGTATAGTTACAGAAGGGTTGTTTAACTTTCCTCTAACATAAGCAGATGATAGGAATACAATACTCAGCTAACCTAGGACACCCCCTTTTACAGGGAATGCAACCGGCGGCAGCAGGTCATCGGGGTGCTCAACGACCTGTACGCCGCTGCCTTCCTGCAGCTCTTCCGCCTCTGGAAGTGCCAGCACGGGACCATCGCTGACGCCGGCTTCTTCCTCAAGGGTTTGTCKTCCCAGGTTTTCCTTCCCCTTATTTTCCTTGGGGAAACAGCCTCAAGACAGCAACCTCAAAACACACCCTGCTGTGTTCTCAGCACATCCCAGCTCAATTCCAAAGGCTGTAATGCCCAAGAAGACCAAACATTCCCACTTGAGTCCTCACACTGAGGTTTTTCCACAACTTCACCCTATCCCAGTGCTTCAAGGGGTATTTTTCCTCCCATTTTCTACCCCAGAGGGATGCTGTGACAGGTTGGCACAAGGTGGGTGACACATGGGGACTGACATTCCCTGCTTCCCAAGCTCACACAGAGCCATAGTTCAACCCCAGTCCATGAATTACTTACTCCAGACAGGATTGCTGTTAGTGGAACTAATGTATCCCTCAGAAATCAGGATCCAGCTGGTGCTGCTGAGCTCCAGCTTCACCCCATCTTCCCTGGCTTCCAGCCTCAGGGGACTCAGGCTGGCATTGTGCTCCCTCATCCCAAGGAAAACACAACCATGCCCTTTCCCAAGGGAAAATATCACGATACTGGATGTATTGGATCCTTGAATACTGGATGTACTGGATCCTTGACACCATCCAAGCTTCACTCCCCTCAACCTTCTCCCCTCTCTGACCCTTCTAGAGCTGGAATTATCCACCAAAAAGAAGCCAAGGCAGCTGCTGAAATCCCTGGAAGCCTATGTGAGCCGTGGTCTTCCATCTCCTTCTGCTCCCTCCTCTCATTCCCCCCAGATCCACTTCACCAGCATTTGTGACCCCGGGGTCGAGCTGGAGGGAGATTCCCGACTGATCTGACACGGAGTGGGATGCTGCATAGGGAATTCTGTGGATGCATCAGCCCTTGGAGGGTGACACAGCAGTGTTACCCCTGGTTTGGGGGCTCAGGAAGAGCTCTGAGGTCACAGAGGTGGGATTTCACCTGCTCCAGGTGGATATCTCTGGAAGCGATGGAGGAAAAGGCAGTGGAGCAGGAGACGCCGTGAGCCACCCAGCCTGGTGCTGGGATASTCCCTCTGTCCATCCCAAATCCAGGGTCCCACCTGTCCTTACCCTCCCCAGGTAGAGCTGGAAGGTGGTGCTGGGTTCCTGGATCCCATTTTGGCTCCAGCAGCGCCTGGGAGGGGTAACCCCACACTTTGGGCTGTGGCAGTTTTATGGAGGGCTGAGGGTGACTGTGGGGTGTCAGCGCATAAAGAAATTATTAAAGCAGGGAGGTGAGGGTTCTGATGGAAAACAGTTTTGGGTTTGGATTTGCCACTGGATTCTGTGGCTGGGGAAGTAAAAGGAAAGTGGGTATCCAATTTGGGGTSAAAAGGGTGCTGTGGAGGAGAGAAATGAGGGTTGAGAGCTCCAAGGAAGAGGGAAAGGGTTATTCCCTCTGGAAGCAACTCAGAGCCAGTGCTTGGGAATGKCCCCGGGCCCTTAAGAGTGGGGAAAAGTAGCCCCCAAAGCCCATATCTGAAGAGAAATTAAAGGTTTGGAGGAGAGAAGTGGGAGCTGGCTKGAGAATGGAGCATTGTGGCTCCCAGCCACCCTGAGAGGGCAGTGATTCCTGGGGGCTGGGAATGCTCTGGATGGAAAAAAATAAAATAAAAAGGAGCTTGGAGCTGGGGTTTGCTCTCCTGATCTTCAATTATTGTGGAAATTGGAGGGGAGAGGAGTCCTTTTCAGCTCTTTTTGGGGGAAAAAAAAGAGGTGGGGTGAGGATGGGGTGGTGGGGGAAAGCAGGCAATGGAGGAGGGATGGGAGGACCTGGGGTGGTGCAGGGAAGTGCAGAGGMCAGGGAGGGATGTGGGTGCTGGGGAAGGAGGCATGTGGGTTGGGGAGATGAGGATGCCTGGAGCAGGGGAGATGCAGGTCCCACAGAGGGATGGAGGTTCTTAGGGAAGGGACTTGGGTACCAGAGGGGGATACAGGTACTGCGGGGGGGATGTGGGTGCTAAGGGATGGCAGGGTGTGGGGTGCCAGGGAGGGGTGCAGGGACCAGAGATGGATGGAGATGCTGCGGGGATGCAGGGGCCAGAGATGGATGGAGATGCTGGTGGGAGGCAGGTGCCAGGAAAGGGTCACAGGTGCCTGGGGTGTTGCAGGTGCCGGGGATCAGGAGCAGGGCCTGGAGCACAGCCCACGACCCTGCCTGTCCCTCCCCTGGCACAGCTCGGTTCCACCCCGGGGGCGGGGGTTCAGCACCCCCCCAACCCATCCCAACTCCCTTAAAACTGTGAGGGACAGGGGCGAGAATGCAGAATTGGGCAGCAACCGGACTGAGGCTGGGAGGCACATGAACGGCATCGGGACGGGCTGTGACAGTGACACCAACAGACCAGCGACAGGGACCCCTGCCGGAGTGGGGGTCTTTCGGAAACCGCCCGTTTTCCTTAAGATGAAGGAAAGGGATGGGCTCCTGTGGGGCCGGGGAGAGAGTGGGGACACGGTGGACCCAACTGGGGACAGATGCCACCATGTCCCCCCTTGCAGCACGGGGATGAGGTGCAGTGTGAGATCGAGGAGCTGGGCACCATCTGCAACCGGGTGGTCTGATGGAAGAGAGACCCCCCAAATCCCACCTCAATAAATCCACAAGGCATCAGATCCCTGCACCCCATTTATCRGTCTGGGGGGACTACAGCTGGGTGAACTGGTGGATGAAGGCTGCCAGCTTCTCCCGGCTGGAAGCAGACTGGAAAGGCTGGGAGAGCTGCAGGAGGGGTCCGGTGGGGGTC